TCCCGCTCAGAGAAACCTCTACAGAGAAGTGATGCTGGAGACGTTCAAGCACCTGGCCTCAGTAGGTAAGGATGGCATTATTTCTGCACTTGGTTATTAGATAATACGTGTTTTGTCTGGTTGCAGTGGCTCATGCCTGTATTCCCAGTGCTTTGGGGAGGCTAAGGCAGGAGGATCACTTGAGGCTAGGAGTTGGCAACCAGCCTGGGCAACATAGTGAGACCCTGTCTCTACAAAAAAATCAAAAATGAGCCCGGCATGGTAGCATGCTCTTATAGTCCTAGCTATTTGGGAGGCTGAGGCAGGAGAATCACTTGAGCCCAGGAGTCCAAGGCTACAGTGACCCGTGATCACACCACTGTACTCCAACCAGGGTGACAAATTGAGACCCTGTTTTAAAGAAAAAAGAAAAAAGATCCGGGCACAGTGGCTCACGCCTGTCATCCCAGTGCTTTGGGAGGCGACGGCGGATGGATTGCCTGAGCTCAGGAGTTTGAGACCAGCCTGGGCAGCACAGTGCAATGCAGTCTCTACTGAAATACAAAAAATTAGCTGGGCGTGGCTGCGTGCGCCTGTAGTCCCAGCTACTCTGGAGGCTGAGGCAGGAGAATCGCTCAAATCCGGGAGGCAGAGGTTACAGTGAGCCGAGACGGCACCACTGCACTCCAGCCTGGGCGACAGAGTGAGACTCCATCTCCAAAAAGAAAAAGAAAAAGAATAAATATTTTTGCTCATTAAGCCTATTCTAAGATTTATAATGTAGAAGGGAATACATTGGTTAATGAGACAGTTATAATCATTGATGTCCTGGTCCTAAAATTCAGTAGCTTCTCTGTGATAATAAAAATCTATTAATCTGTACTTTTCTTTCTGTCTTGTTGAAAAGACCTAGGGTCGGCCAGGCACAGTGGCTCACGCCTGTAATCCCAGCACATCAGGAGGCCGAGGCGGGCTGATCACGAGGTCAGGAGATCGAGACCAGCCTGGCTAACATAGTGAAACCTCGTCTCTACTAAAAATACAAAAAATTAGCCGGGCGTGGTGGCGGGCGCCTGTAGTCCCAGCTACTCGGGAGGCTGAGGCAGAATAGCGTGAACCTGGGAGGCAGAGCTTGCAGTGAGCCGAGATGGTGCCACTGTACTCCAGCCTAGGCGACAGAGCAAGACTCCATCTCAAAAAAAATAAAAGAAAAAGAAAAAAAAAAGACTTAGGGTCCTTTTGTGTTACCAGTGCGGGTATATATTGGTGGCACGGAGA